TGTCTGGTCCATGGTGGTGATTATTCAAACGTACGAGCGGACATTCCGTACCTAGGCCTCGTGATCTGTGAGAGAAGGGCCCTCAAAATCGCATGTTAACACCACGACCTCCTAGACAGTAGAAATCATTTTTTTTACTCCTCAAATGGGAGGAAAAATAAAAGTTAATTTAATTTTTTTCATAATTCAGTTAAATTTCAGAATAGTTTTCATGAGTTGAGTTTATAAATGATTTTAACAAAATATTTTAATTTCTTAAATTTATTATTAGATTAAATATAAATTCATTAGCAAAAAGTGATGATTCAATAATTGATTGCCATAGTAAGATTTTTGAGATTGAATGATCTTATTTATTCATGTTTAAAATAATATTATTAAAAAATTACAAATTTATATGTTTATGAGGATATTAAACAAACAATAACATAATTTGCTGATAACGATTTTAATCAATTCAAATCTTTTATAAAAGACAGTTGAAATGAGGATTCGTTTGCTGCAAAGAAAATGTTATCTTTAATTTAAAATTTTTGCTATTTTGCAATGTAAAAGAGCGCCTAAATTTTTTAAGTTTTACTAATTCTTATATGGTTCTTAAAAGTAGCTTCTTAATAAATGTCTAATCTCAGGCATCCCTCTTTAAATATTTATCTATTATCAAGCTATTTCTCTCAACATCCAAGGTATGGGGACCTTACTTGATACTAGAATACTAGCTCAATGCATTCAGTCAATGATAAGACCTAATTCTTTCAAGCAGAGAGTTCTTTATTTTTTTTAAAGTTATGCTTCCTTTACTTCATAAATTTTATTCAATAGATGAATTTCTTCTTCTACCTAACATATAGATAACTATTAGGTTCCATCACTATAGAATTCCTTATTTAATCTTGCAAATTTGAATATTGGTTTTTCTTTTTATCTGTCTCCCATTTGATGCTTTATTAATTTCTTCCATTATGATCTCCCTACCAGTACCTCCTAATTACTACATCTATAAATTAATTGAGGTTGGTTCCCACTATCTATTCATAGTAATCAAATGAAAAAATTTAGAATCCTCCACTCTCACACTCTACATTTTTATTGGCAACGCTCCTTCAAAGAAAATTGCTTTTTTGTCGATGAAAGTCTGATTAGGTCGATTCAAATCTTTATAATTTTTTCATCTACCCTTCTGATCACATTAATTTTTATCCATAATCATCAAAGGGCTTTATAATTAGTTCATCTTCTCTCCATATCTCAATTTAACTGCAAACTCTCATAATAAATTCTCTAATCAGTCTTCTAGTTTCAATAATACCCTTTTCCAAAAGAAGTATTCTATTTGTTCCATAATTTTCAAATATAAATATCCATTATTTTATAAAGGGATATAAGCCTAATACGATCATTCAATTCTCTCATAAAAGGATCTAAATTAATAAATACATATTAATCAGAATAATTATTTAATTTTTTATTTCATTACCTCCAAGATTTACAAAATCAAAAATTCATCTTTGAAAATAAATCTATCTTATTATTCATAATTTAGTAGCCTTCTTTGAAAAGTGATCCTTAAGAAAGATCAAATTCCATTTATACATGGGTATTTTTAAATAGTTTTATCACATATCACTCAAATATATAATCAAAGTGAAAACTGACTTAGAAGTATCTTAATTGGGAGAAGAGATTTTTTAACTTTTTAAAAAAATATCACAACAATCAAACAAAAAAAGTAATTTATTTTACTTCTTGAGATCGATAAGGAGCCAAATATATTTAAACTTTATTGCTATTTACTAAATTCTAAGGAGGTACTTTCAATTCTCATTAGAACACCAAGAATTGATTTATAAGGTAATCATGAAGATTACGAAAAGAGATTTGATTAAAAAAGATATATCTGTCGCGAATCAGTTAATATTTTAGCTTTTATTAGGATCCCCCTACAGATGATTATTGTAAATTTGGAGATATTGAATGCATTTAATTGTAAATTTTAGATAAATTACTAAAAGATGAATTAGATTTTTAAGATTAAAAAATAATAATGGAGAAAATTTTCTTTACCTTTATAAAAATTTGGGGAACTCAACCCACTTATCGAGGAAATCCATATCGATTAGCCAAAGAAATCATGTTAATTTTGGAGAGGTCTTAAAAAATCAACTTATCACATGCTTTTCTTGAGTTGGAGTAGTAAGGTAACCATAAGTAAGTGGAGGGAGAAGGGTACTTTACCATCTTTAGGAAATTCTATATAAAACTGGATATTTACTGAAATCAGCACTTTTGTATAGAGATTTGGATGTTCTCTATTTTCTTGAATCTTTATTATCCGACATTTCTGGACCCTGTTAAAAAAAGTGTTGCTCTGATATCATGCAGAAAATGAAATTTTAGTCAGTTCTTAGCTCAAAAAAATTTAAACTTTAAATTTATATTCCAATTGACTTTTTATTTCTTTTAAAAAGTTAGTTTGTGCATTTCAAAAATGGGGTTGTAAAATTGCGAAGTAATTATTAATTAAGGACTTAGAAACTGTCAAACCAAAAGGTAGACTGATGCGAAATTACCACTTGAATAGAAAAGAAGTAAGGTGGATCTTGGATCCCTAATTCAGTCGATCTCCTCAGGATCTAAAATTGGGGTATATGTTAATCAAGCTGGTTGCAGAATTTAATCAAATATTACAGATTCTTGGAGTAATCAGTTGAATATGCGAGGGCATGTTATCACTTGAATGGTTTAAAAGTGACATGAGCAATGAGTTTGTGTTCTATTCAATTAAACATGAGGATAACTCTTGAGAGATGTATTCATTTTTATAAGTATTTTTTTTCCATTAAATAAATTGAAAAAATAATTTTAGTAAAGATTGATAGATATTAATTAAAAAAAGAAATATATTAAATAACAATATTATTTTATAAAAATTGATAATTATTTAATAATATAATCAAAAAATTTAATAATTGAAATGAATGAATTTTAAGTAGATTTAACATTAGTAATTCTTATTGAACATTTAATAAGATAATTCTGATTAATTCAATGAAATAAAAATGTATTTAATCAAATATAAATCACAATTATAAAATAAAATTTATTTTAATGAAATAATAGAATTTGTTTACTTGTTAAGATATTGCACATGAAGGAGAAGTTATATAAGGATTTTGTTTAAATTTGGGATGCTAAGATTCAAGATCTTAGTTTTGTCTTTAATGTGGATTTGATTCTAAGAAACATACTAATTGCAAAAAAGATCTAAAAGGATTTGGTTAAATTTAAAGTTTTATCACTAAATTCAATTAGTATATACTTGATTTGACTATCTAATTAAATAAATCATATTCATAAGTTAAAATAAAATATGAAGAATTCACAAAATAATTGGATAATATGAAAATATAATTACTTAAGTTATCTGAAAGTTTAAGTTAATAAGATTATAAATAAGTCAAAGATAATTTGTAAATGATTAAGGAATGGTATCAATATTCAAACAATCAAGAGGAGATCATGAAGTAGAATTAAATTGGTATTTTTCTATTAGTAATATTTATAGGAACTTAATTATTTAGTATAAAAAGTATGATACAAACTTTGGATTTGGACAGCAAATAATAATAATAATAAATTAAAGGTGTTAATCAAGATAATGAAATAACACTTGAATAAGGTATTCAATTTATTTAAAATTTAATTAGGAATAGAATTAAATTAATTAAATCAAATTTAATAATATTAAATTAAAAAAAATGGTAAGAGGCTAATGAAAATATAAATTAATACTTAAAATTATTAGAGAAACATTAAACAATTGCCACATTTTTTAAAGGTAATTACAAATTATTTATAATATTAAGGTATTTCTTTAATTGAAATGAATCAACCTGGAAAAGGAATTATAAAAATAAAATAAGCCAAAAAGATTAATAGTAACTTATATAGAGATTTATTGGATTATTCAGATTTAGAACTTAAGTAAAATCCAAATAATAAATTTATTTTAATTGCAAAAAGTTCATATATTCAATTATTTCTATAGGTTATGCGTTAGATGAAGAAAAGAAATATCAATTAGCTATTGAAGAATGCGAAAAGGTTTTGATAGAAGAACCTTTATTTCTCCATGCATTGTATAGAAAAAGTACTCATTTCTTTTTTAAATAGGCTTTTCGTTATCAAATTTGAATGAACATTCACAAGCACTTTTATGCATTGATAAAGCTTTAAATTATGATTCAAAGTATATTGTTGGATATTGCACAAAGGGTAATTTATTAGTTTATGATTGTAATAGGTTATTCATTAAATGATCTTGGAAAATATAATAAAGCATTAGTTTGTTATGATAAGGCAATCGAACTGGATCCTAATGATGCAATTGCTTATAATAATAAGGGTTAATAATTATGTTATTGTAGTAGGTAGTTCATTAAATGATCTTGGAAAATATGATGAAGCATTAGTCTGTTTTGATAAGGCAATCGATCTGGATCCTAATTATGCAACTGCTTATAATAATAAGGGTTATGAATTATGTTATTTTAATAGGTTATTCATTACGTAATCTTCAAAAATATAATGAAGCAATAGTTTGTTATGATAAGGCAATCGAACTGGATCCTAATGATGCAAATACTTATAATAATAAGGGTTAATAATTATGTTATTGTAATAGGTTACTCATTAAATAATCTTCAAAAATATAATGAAGCACTAGTTTGTTACGATAAGGCGATCGAATTGGATCCGAATTTTACAATTGCTTATGATAATAAGGGTTAATAATTATGTTATTTTAATAGGTGCTTTACTATAAATCCTAACTAAAGTATCTTATATAAAGAAGTATTAATAAGCCATAGAGAATTATGAACAAGAACTTTTGTATTACAAACAAGACCAAAATAAATATAAAAATTTAAATATGTAATTAAGAAATAAGAAATGAATATTAATAAAATATCATTAATAAAATATTTATATAAGTTATTTTATCTACATTTTAAAATTACTTTAATTTTGATACTATATATATTATAATAGTAGAATGGCTTTCTTTTTAAAAAAATAAAGATATTAATTAAATAAGTAACAAAATTAAATATATTATTTTTCCATTCTATTTTATCTAAGAAACATTTTAACTCTAGTTGTCAGCTTTGCATTTACTAAGTTAATTATTATTCATCGTAAGGATTAGTTGAAACAGATCTAATCTGAAATCAAATAAAATAATACATTCAATGTATTTAAATGGAAATCTAAAATTAATTTACTTTAATAGTTAATAAGTTGCATTTTCAAACAGCTCTTTACCTTTGTAATGGTAAATATCATGCAAACAATGTTGTAAGTTTAAATTTTTATAAATTTTTAGAATCAATTAATATAATTAAATTAATGATACTGTATTAAATTTTTTCTGATTTCACATTTAATAAAAACCTTTTTTTATTATAATTTTTTTTCCTAAGACATCTCATGGCAGATGCTCTTTACAATCATCTTTTGATGAATGTTATACTTTATTATTAAAATCTTAAATAATTATAAAGTTATTCCTTATAGAAAAAAATTTGAACTTCCACAAATTACTTTTGTATTACTTAAAAAAAGAGTCTATTATCTTCTGCTTTAGAAATTATTATGAAAATATATAAAGTAATTTAAATAATTCACAATAAATATTTAATACGATATCATTGAATCACTGGAATCATAATTAAGTTATTAGACAGTTCATGTAATAAATAAAGTGCACACTACATATTCATCGAGTAATTTAATCTTCGTTCTTACATTTTAACCAAGAGTTAAGGAGATTTTTAGAAGAACCATTCGTTTTAGTCAATCCATAGGACAGGAATATAAAGACATTATCTAGTAACATAGTTCCAGATAATTACTTTGAACTCTTAATATTATAATGAATCACTGAAACTTCTAAAAATTTCATGCCCATGCTGACATGAATTAATCTGACATCATTTTTTGATAATGAAAGAAGAGAGACATAATACTCCCTTCTCGAAATATTTGAAAGATTTCTAGAATTTCTCAGCATGGCAATAGTCAAGATTTCCCATCAGTCAAAACTTTCATTCTACTTAACATGATAAGATATATTAATAATTCATCAGATAATTTATAAATGAATTCATTCAAAAGGTAATACTCTTACTGTGTTATATAACTCTGTTTTTTTTTTCCAAGAAAACTCTAGAGAATGAAAAAGAGTTTAAATGATATTTAAAAGTCAAGAATAGGGTGATTAACATAAATACCAAAATGCGATTAATACTATGAAAGCTTATTTAAATTTGAGAATAAACTTTTGTAAAAAAATTAAGGCAAACTTTTCAGATCCAATCTTATCCTTTATTATGTTTTTCAATAGGATATCACTTATTTTTATTATCTCAAAAAATCTTTTCTTTACGTTATAGTCTGATTTTCAAAATTATTAAAATTATTGTTTTACCAAATCAAATCTATATAAATATATCACTCAGTTATTAAATTGAATAAAGTAAACTTAAAATCACTTCGTTCAATATTAGCAAATAATCTTAAAAAATTAAAAATAAATAGAAAGAAAATTGGATTTCTTATCATTGAAACTTTAATACTTATTTAAAATACAAATTAAATTAGTTTTTTTTATTTCATTATCTTTTACCAATTCCAAATCTTAAACCATTACCATTTTCATCGTATGAACCGCATCACTAAAAAGATTTGTAAGAAAATTCTTACATCTTTTTAAATTCTATCTTATTTTCTCTTTAAAAAAAATATCCCAATTACCTACTTTTTTGTCATTTTTATATTTTTATTGTGAGTGATTTTAGATTCTTCCAAAAATTAATCACTTTAAACCTTCCATTTCCTCTCGTTCTGACCTTACTCATTAGATGATTCATAACAACTAACACTTTTAATTCCTTTCCATTCAAATATGCTATTCCTCCAAAATTATTTTTTATTTTTATAAATTTTGATTAACCTTCCAAATATTCATTCATCTAATCTATTGAATATTGTACTTAATTATTTTGAGTAAGATTAATTAAAATTTTTATTTTTTTAAATAATTTTAAAGTTAATTCTACCTTTCCACTTCAATATCTTTAGTGAAATATATCTATGTATTTGACTCTCTTTAATTAATGCACGTAAATGTTATTAGTTCAATAATTTAAATATTTAATTGAATTCTAATTTATTAACACAGAATTATAGAAATTTATCATAAACTATAGGGTATAAAAAATTACGAAATTTGATCCTCCCAACAAATGTGTAGCAATATATTTTCAATTTTACATTAATTATAAATTTATTCAAACATTCACTACTTCAATTAGATGTTTAAGTTGTAACATTAAATTCTAAGCGTTGTTGGTCTATGATTGTTATTATAGAAACTTATCTAATTTAAAGATATAAAATATTAATTCTGGTCTTTGTAAGTTAAACTATATTAGTAAATTATTCTATCTTCTTATGATCAATTAATTCATTTATGTAGTACAATTAACAAATTTAAGGTGTTATTAAAATAGATTAAATAAACAACAATGTTAAAATTAGAAGAGAACTTAATTTGATCAAACTTTTTACTTCACAAAAACTTATTTATTAACCTCAATTAGAATTTATAAGGTAGATTAATATAAATTATTTCAGATAAGGGGAGAAAATAATAAACAATAGAAGGTTCATTTAAATAGACTTTACAAAATAATATGAATAATTAGGTAATTCACATGTAAACTATAAAATTTTAATCTGCACATTAGGAGTTCATAAGAAAATAGATAAACAATAGAAAACTCTCCTTCCTACTCAATGTATGATAGATTAAGAAAGAAAATCCAACTAGAATAACAGTCAGAGTTCACATGGATCAATAAAAGGAGTTTTGGACATATTTTTAGGGATTTATAAATTATCATAATCAAAGATTTGTTGAAACCCTTATTTACTCTATTTATTCAGAATATTGAAAGAATTCTGTTTAAAGTCTTTGAAAAAAGGGTGCATATTTAACCAATTGTTTCTCTTTTTGTGATTTAGGATCTTATTTGTTTATTTATTTTAATTTTAACTTATACTATATTTTATATTTCATTTCAATCTTTAAGTTTTTATTCAATTAATTCAATTCATAGTTATTCAAAATTATTATTACATTAAATTTATGTTTCTTATAAATATTTTATTTATTCTGAATCATTTAACATCCTTTTACGGTTGAATAAGAGACTCTAAGATCATAAGGGAAGGAAGCCATGGATGAAGGAACTTGAATAGCTTTCCTATGCATCAGCTACATATAGGATGTCTTTCTGGGCAAGACATTAGACAATGGGGTTCAAGAATGTGAACTAATTGTAGGCTTGGAATCATGGGGGATTCTAAGAGATTCTGTATGCTTGATACAAATATAAAATAGTATAAACCATCAGTTTTAAACAAGAAAATAGCTAACAATAAAGAATAATGTATTATAATAAAATATTATAACCAAGATAACAAAAAACAAACATGATCAGTCTTGTATAAATACTCATACTATATAAATTTTACAGTATAATTATTGTTTTATTCAATTATCACATATCATTTCTTTTATCTTTATAAAACCTTCCTCTATTTTGTTCCAATCTCGATACTATTGGCTCTATTCCCAAACCATTATACCTTTCTTATATTCACCATCCATTAAAATCCATTCGTTATTTACACCCAATAGTCATCCTTTATCACATCACCATTATATTATCCTCCACCGCTAAAAATAAATTATAATCCATATATATTTATAGGACTTCTTACATCAATTTAAACTCACTTTCATCAAATACATATACCACATATCCCAAATTCCAACTTTTTAATTATTTTTATATTCACCATGATATGTTATCCCAGGGTAACTTGGAAATCTATCTGATACTTCCACCCTCTTACCAACCTTCATTCCATCCCCTTCATCATCATAAAATCCACCTCTCCTTAAGTCAGAAAGATTAACTATATATTTATAATCTTACATCCAAATTAAAAAAAAAATTTCACTCTAGCCATGTGATAATTTTCGGTAAGATGTGCTTTCATCATCCGTAGTTCACTGACTCCTTATGGGATGTGGACATGTCCAAATCTCCGTTTCTCATCTTGACTAGGCCATTCACCTTATGAGGGGCTGTTTGCTGGTAGAATAGATGTTGATTATGTAGGGGTTAGGACTGTAAGAGCCAAATGATGGCTGCCTTACAAAAACATTTTAAGATGAATCAAATTACTTGACACTCTCGGTCCTGTGGAGCCGTGATGGTGAAAATCACCGAGTGGCACCCGAGGATTCAAAAAGATTGGGAAATATATTTTTTGGACCTTCTTAAAAATACAATACTCCGTCATATTTCTAGAACTTTCTGGAATTAAAAAAAAAAATAAAATAAAAATATTTTAATAGGAGGCTTCAAACTTATGGGTGGAGCATTTTACCTTAACTGTTTACAGGGTGGTGTTCCTTCCATCTACTTTTATGAGTCCTAATGCCAGTAATTTTGATTTATCTTTATCATTTAATCATTTAATCTTACATCCTTTAATTTCCTTATCCTTCGGTTTTCCTTGTATCACATCTGCCGATTGTTTAACCATTTTTATGTATACCATAATACATTAGTTAAAAAATTTTTGCATTTTCATTCAAAACTTCTATCCAATTAGCTATATTCATTTCATCACCACTTTTTTCATATAATCCACCACAACTAAAACAAGCATATGAGTATATACTAATTTTTACATCTTATTATTTACTTCAGAATTACTATGCCAAATATCCCATTCGCCAATATTTTAACCAAATTTATATTCACCAATATATGTTACTGAAGATGAAATTTCAAATTTATTTGAAACCTCCACTTATAAACTTAATTCAAACTCATGGCCTTCCTTATCATTACATCCACTACTTCATTTTTTACTAAATGATATTATTTTACATTTTATTATTCTCATTGAAATTAAGTCAAATATCCCATTTAACAACTTTGTTACTATTGCGATATTTGGAAGAATAAGTTACTTAAGATTAATCCAAAAATCCTTCCCCCTAAAACTATCCATTTCCCATTCCTCTATCCTCATTTGATATATAAACCTCCTCCACTAATTATTCTAGCTATAATTATAAATTTTGTGTTATTTATATTAATATTGCCATCTTCCAAACTTTTAATTGCGAAAATATTCTCCATTTTCATATACTTGAGCTATACCATTTTTATTAACTTATTTAGCTATTGATTCTGTTCCTTCAATCCATCCTAGTATTAAAATATCTTTACAATTGTTTTATTATATCCACCAACTTCTAAAAGAGTTTCCCCATTCTAATTGGATGTCTATTTACCTTCTTTTTTTTGATTTTTTCTGAATTTGCCTCACCATCTATCTATTCCAAATTATTAAAAATTTCTGGATTGAAATTGTAATATATCAATTCCCTTTTAAACTAATAAATAATGAAATACTTTCTTAAAATTATTCCTTATAATGATTAATAAATGATATAATTATCATTTGTAATTAAGATCTTAGTTTTTTCTTTAACATGATTCTGGTTGGTTTCATTCCACCTTTATAAATCAACATTTATGGTGCCTTGGTATAAGATTGCTGACTCTTGGAAATTCCATTTATTTTAGAACAATTGGTTCATCTTTTCAATATATTAATTGCTTTAAGAAATTATTAATTACAAACAAGAAATAGAATTTTGATGAATTAACTTTATTTGAGATGAATAAACATAAATAAGAAACATGTTTCTTTTCGAATATAGTCGTTTTTTTACTATAATATTAATAAGTTCCAAACCTTTTAACTCCATATTATTTAACTCATATGTTTACTTTACTGAATATTCAAAAAATAATAAAAAACTTAAATTCTAACTATATACAGATATGCAATTGTGTATTTACTGTTTAATATCTGTGTTTTATTTAAATAACTTTTCAAAATACACAATTCAGAAATTTCTATAATTATTTAAATCGGATATTTAATTTTAGTCATATATTCATAGATTAGAGACTTTGAGATTTTTAAACATAATCCTGGTTATTCAGAATCATTAAAAAATACCTTTACATTTTTTTAAGTTAATTGAGTTTAATTTTTCATTTTGATTAGTTTAGATTTTTCTAATTACCAAATGAAAAAGACAAAAATAAAATTCCAATAATATAAAATAATAAAAATTATGAATGATTTTTGTAATGATCACCTAAACTAGAAGGTGACCCATATATGTACATACAATCATGTTTGTTAAAAAAGGTTATGTGAAATTTGCCTGAAATGTCATATTTTTGATGTTCCATCTGAAAATTTACTAACGATTGATAAATGTCTCGAAAAACAATAAGGTCTTATAGAAAAATATAAGTTAAATGATGAATGCATGTTAAAAGATTTTCAAGAGGATATTTAACATAAGCTTGATAAAATACATAACAAATTTTTGGAGTGGATTAAATTAACTAAAAGTTGCATTAATAAAATAATTTAATAAATAAAAGATACTAATCAATCTTATAAATCAGTTTTAGAGCAGCATCCATTAGAGTGTCCTTAGTTAATTGTTCATGCTATTTCATATAATCTTTAGGAATACCCTATACATATTTGGTCTAAAGAATCGTAAACAATATTAAATAATTGCAATCGAAAATTTGATTTACTTGTGAAATCCTTTGACAAACTCATAGATATAGCGAATCGAGAAGTTTATCAAATTACTACATTTTATGATGGGTATTGTATTTAAATAAAAATTAGAACTACTAAATTAGAGGGTTTTAAGATTTTTGGAGTAAAACATGGTTAATACAATTAAATTTTGGAAACAGGAGAGATGTTAGATGTATTAATTTTATAATATTAATTAAGGCAGGATAATATGGATTGAATAAAAAAATTGGTGTTTGGAAATTTCAAGGATGGCATGAAATTATAAATTAATTACAATAAACTATAATTGAAGTTAATTTTTGTGATGAGATTGGGATTAAATTATACAAGAAAAACAATTAAATTATTAAGATGTATTAATATGATCAAATAATTTAGAGAACATATAGATAATGAAATAATGTTGAACATCGAATAAATAAAGTATTTAAGCTGGAAAGGAAACTATGATCTATTAGGAAGAAAAATAGGAGTATGGAATGCTAATTGGAAGGGATAAGATATAGGAATAGGTGGATTATATGATACTAAAGGCTATAAGATTGGGATATGGAAAGAATCATTAATGCAATATTCTCAGTACAAGATTCCTCATTTAATTATTTAGTTCTTGCTAAACTATATGTAGTGGAGAATACAAAAATGGAATGAGATTTGGAAGATGGGATATTCTTTATAAAACAAAATATATGGAAGAGATTAAAATAATGTAATAATTATCAATTATTTACAAAGTGGAGGAGGATTTTATAATAATCATGGTATGAAAGAAGGAATTTGGGAAGAATTATTTGATAATTTTAGCATGTATATTACTAATAATTATATTTTAGTAATAATTAGGTAATTTAAGTTGGATAATACAGATAAGGATAGAAATTTGGAAAATGGTCAATTCTATTTAGGGAATATTCAAATTTCAAATTTAAATATGTGTACAATATTGAATTATCATAAATAGAGGTGGAGGAATGTTTGAACAAGGTAAGAAAATATAATAATGGACGGAATTAGACTAATATTATGGAAAGTAAATATAGGGTTTAATTATTTTATAGAGATAATGAAATTATTTAAGTAGGGTGTTATAAGGAAGGTATAAAAATTGATAGATGGGATATTAAATACAGAGAAGATTCAGATAAATAATTCTAAATTTTGTAAATTAAAGGTTAAATTTATTAGGGGTGGAGGTGAATATGATGATAAAGGGATAAAGATAGGCTAATGGAAATAAATAGATAATCATTTTTCTAAGTAACTTCTAAATTTTATTGTTAGAGATAACTAGATCATATTGATAGGAAATTATAGAAAAGGAAAAAAGTTTGGAAGATGGGATACATATTATAAATAGAGTTCATAATTTTAATTGATGTATAAAGAATTATATTATAGAGCTGGAGGAGATTATGATGATGCAGGTCTACAGATTGGTAATTGGATAGATATTGATGAATTCTTTAAGAGCAAGTATAAATAAATAAAGATGAATATTAGACACTGTTAATTTACTCTAATTGGATAATATTAAGATGGAAAGAAAGTTGGAAGATGGGATATATTGTCCTTACAAAATAGAAATTCAGAGTAATATTTAGTGTAAAATTTATATGCAATATTTTTGTGCTGGAGGAAATTATAATCTATAGGGTTAAAAATTTGGAAAATGGATAGAACTGGATTATCGTTCTTCTAAGTATTTACTCTTTTTCATAGAAAAATTTCAGTTAATTATAATTTTTGGATGGAGGCGAATATATTAATGGGAAAAAGGAAGGACTTTGGGTAAGCCAAATTCAAGAAAAATTAAAATTTTAAATTGAACTAGTGTAAAAATTATTTAAATATATCACTCATTCAGTATTGGAGGAGAGTATTAAGCTGATGTAAAAACAGGGAAATGGATTGAATTTGCTGACTCTTTTAACTAGTATTCTTTTAAGTCTTATTGATAGTGATTGTTAAGTAATTGAAGTTGGTGTATATAAGAATGGAAACAGATCTTATAGATGGGATGTGTAATACAGAAACTAATAAGAATAGAAATTTTAAACAATGTAATTTATTTGTTTTTAGTAATAACTATATCTAAAGAGCTGGAGGTAATTATGATTTGTAAGGAAATAAAATAGGAAAGTGGACTGAATTGGATACTTGCTTTAAAAAGTAATATATAGAAAAAATCTAATAGAAATTTTTAAGTAATTCATGAAGGATAATACGAAAATAATATGAAGAATGGAAAATGGAATACATAATTTAGAGAAGTATAAAACAAAAAGTTTGATATCATGTAATGTAATATTTTAAATATTAGAGCTGAAGGAAGTTATTCAAACGACAATAAAATTGGGAAATGGATTGAATTAGAAAAACATTACTAAAAGTATCTAATATTAAAATTATAAATTTTTAGAACTTATTAAGTTATTTATGATGGTTAATATCAGAATGGAATTAAAATTGGAAAATGGGATATTTTATACAGATATAATACAAATCAAGAGTTTATAACTATGTAAAAGGAAGTTAATAAATATAATTTAGGGCTGGAGGATTTTATGATGTAAATGGATTAAAGAATGGAAAATGGTGTGAACTTGGAGATTATTTAGAGGAGTATACAATTTTTATTATTTTTTTAGTGAAAACCAAGTGATATTTATAGGAGAATATTCAGATGGAAAAAAATTTGGGAGATGGAATAAAAATATCTTGAAAGTTAAGGAAGATGAATTGTAAATTAAATTTTTAATATAATAAGTTCTGATTGATATGAAATATTTATAATAAATTTATAATTAATTAAATACATATACATAATCTTATAGTTCAATCAGAATCCAAAAAAAAAAGAATCATGAAATTTAAGGGTATATATCTATTTTATTATCCTTTTAAAATCAATATTAAAAAATAATTTTAAGATTTTGAGAAATAAGAACCATAGATCTTAGATGAGAATATAATTTTATTTTTAGAATTAAATTTAAAAATTAAAAACAAACTAGAATTGCTTACAAATTAAGAATGGATAAAATATATATAAAGGATTGGTGAATATGGAAAGAATGATGAAAAAATTGTCAAATAGATAGCGACCTGAAAGGAAGAAACATTAATCAATTTAGTAGTTAGTATAAGAATGATTAATTTTTATTTCCAAAAAGATTATACTTTATTATGGTTAAAAAAAAGAATAATGGATGGATTTGAACAATAATTTTACAATTATTTAAAATAATTTGTTGATAGTAAAGCTTAAATACATGAATTAGGTGAATAAGAATATAATAGAAGAGTAGGAAATTGGAAATATATTTATAAGGATAAAAGCATGCAATATAATAAAATATTAATCAAGTTAGAGGAGAATATGAGAAATAAGGTTGGAAGTAGGGCTAGTGGATAATATTTAGTGAAGGATTTTCTTTAAAATGGCAAGTAATTTATAATGGTGTTTATAAAAATGATAAGAGCGTTCTTAGGTGAGATGCTTTTTATAAGCAATAATTCTGGTTATTTATATAAGGTAAATTATTTTATCTATAATGTTACATTTAGGGCTGGATTATACAATGAAAAATGGTTAGTAGATTGAGTTGAGATTAGTAGTGATGTATTTAGGTATACATAGTTATTCACATAACCTAGTATGAAGGTTAGTAGATGGAATATAAATTATAGAAATGCATAGGATGAACCAGTTGTATAGATGTAAAATTATATTATCACCTTTTTTGTTAGAATGATTCAGTGGTGATAGGTGATTTCATCAAAGAAGTAATGGTTTCAAGGCATGTAGATTTATTGATATAAGCGATGGATTTAGAGGATAAACACAAATATTTTCATAATGGAGAATATAAGTAGAGTAAAAAAATTTTGTATTTGGGAGTGTATAGATATAACAAATAATAAAAAATATTAAGAAACAAAATATGTTAATTGAAAAAATATAAGATTATTAGTGTTTTGGAATTTTTTTAATTTGAAAAATTTTATTTAATAGTTAAAGAATAATTATACTTGTATCATATATATTAAGTTTATAAATTAATAAATAGATATAAAAATCTTTTTCATTTGATGAGAACAAAAAGTTCTTCAATTAAACACTATTAACTGAAAAAATTAATTAGTGCAGATATAAAGATGCTTAGAGTTAGCAAAATAAATAGATGCATTCAAAGATTATTCTTTCTTTAATCCAAAGGAATTAAATTATTCATATCAAATAGTAATTCTTTTACATTTTTAGAAATCAATAAACAGAATATTTTAGTGAATATCATCGAAACTATCAATACTAAAAACTATTTATAAACATGAATCTTTAATTTCTAAATAGGTTTACATCTCGATTTTAATAAAAGATTCTAATTTATTCCTTGTAAATAACTTTCCTTATAACTTAACTTATAGTACCTTTTTTCCTAATAAAAATAGGTTCATAATTTTTTATAAATAATTAAAATTAATTAAAGACAAATAAATATGATCTTTAAACACTTTATAGGTATGAATTAGTTCATAAATAATTAGTGATTATGATTTAGATTAATAACACTAATAAAATAATAGTCTTATTATTTTTCGTTTATTATTCTAATCATAACTTAAAACAAGTGATTATTCATTAATTTGTGAAGTTGAATTAAGAATTTAAATATTTTTTGTAAGGATCAATTTTGGATCTTGAATTCTATTATATAGTAGTATATAAAGGCAAAGTAAAATTAGAATCTGGTCTACCAATACTTGCTCATAAATTGAATATGTCTTTTAATGATTAAGCTTAGCTTTAATATCATAATTTAAGTAACGATGTCATGAAATAATTTCTTTTCTAATCCTATTTGCTATAATCATTTTAATTTTATTTAAAATTATCACCTAAAATAAACCCTCCCTCCTCCCCCTTATTAGATTTAATAGAGTCTTAATCTTATTTAAATCTAATGGATCCTAAAAATGAAATATTTTTATTCTTACAAATAATATAAATTAAAATATAATCATGTATCATGTAAGGGTGATGTAATTTGTTCTGAATCGTTTATATGAAGCATACTTGATCTAATACGAGTTTAGTCTTCTTCGATTTTTTCTCTCAAAGGCTAATGTAAAGTTTCTCTTAATGGAAACAATAGTAAAGCACATAA